GCTGCCATGCCTGGGAGCAAGGGAGGGGGTGCTGGAGGTGGAGGTGCCGGGGCAGGGGCAGCGCTTGGTGCAGGGGTAAACGTCTCCGGTGAAGCCGAGCAGGCTGAGAGCTGGGAGGATAAGATCTCTTCTGCAGCAGGTGGCCCTGATGGAGGTTCTGGTGCCTTGGAGGGGTTAGTTGATCCCACAGGACTCTGAACTGCACTCGCACACACTTCCAGTTCAGTCTGAACACCTTCACTTGTATTCCCGGACAGACGGTTTTCAGCTCGCTTTTGCTTGTTTGGATGTTTCTTGATAGATAACAACCTCTCGATGACTTCTTCAACTGTGTTCCCTTGGACTAAAAAAACAGGTGAGAGTCAGTGGAGGAGATGGGGCTCAGAGGTTGGTTCATGCTGTTGAACCCCCAAGCACCAGATCCGGATCTGCAGAACCCACTCCCTGGAGCTACCTTACAGAACTGCGCTTTTTCCTTTCATGCAATTTCCTTCCCAGGGTCCTGGCTCAGCTCAAGACCCATAAACACTGTTTTGAGCATGACTGCACGGAAGGCTAGCCAGCACCAGCAGCAGGATGCCAACAAAGACAGAAAGTCCCACTGACTCCTACCACCCGAAGCTCACTGCAGCGTCAGGGCTTAACCATCACAGTGAGGCAGTAAATCCTGAGCACGCTGCTAAACATGGCCAGCTCTCACTGGCACCTGCAGGTTCAAGGCTTTACACCAAGACTTGACCCCATGTCATATATGAGTTTTGTCTCTGCTTCTGTTCGTTTCTTAGGATGTCCCATAGCTTCTTTCCTGTGCATTTGGGAAGGACTTTTGCAGGTTTTGGACAGTGGGAGGGAAAAAAAAAAGAGTTTAGTGCAAGGCTGGAAGTACATGCCACTCTTATGTCAGTCTTACTGTCATTTGCGAGCAAAATGGCTCTGTTCACTACAGCATCCAGGGACTCCCATAGCAAGAGGCTGGAGTGGTGAGATGGTTCCAGGTGCAGAAGGCTCTGGAGGATGGACAACAGCTGGATGGAGACTGGAGAGCGGCTCACCTGGAAGACAAGGTGTTTTCCATTAAGGGTAAGGCTGTGCACCAGACTGGTTCCAAGCAAAGTATGTCAGCGTTGCCATTCACGACCTTGCTCCCCACAGGAGGGCCAACTTACTTTATTGAAGAGAGATGAAAAGACCTCATGATGATCGTTCATGTTTATCCCATCACATATCTTTAACAATTCCTCATCATCTTCTATCTTGAACTCCTCAAATGTATCACACTGGATAATCAGATCCTCCTCCTCTATGTCTCTGCAATCACACAGCAATCATTTTCATTGGAGAGCCCCTCACTGATGATTCAGATGATTGTTTTTGTTTAAATTGTTTTTACCTCTTTGCTTCTTGGACTCAGCCTGTCAGTGTTGAAAGCACCCAACTCTACCTCATTTATAAAGGATCAAATCCCAGCAGCACATCTTTTCTTAAACTGAATATACCTCTCTCTACAGACAACACATGGAAATGAATGTAGCTTTTCATGGCATAATCTAGCTCAGTGTATGTTTTGTGTAGACATCTCCTTAGAGCTATAACAAGTGGCATTTGCACCCTTTTGAAATTTGGCCTTGGTTTTTTTTGGTTAAGACAAAGGAAAAATATTCAAGTGCTGTTTCTGTTTGAAGAAACTTTCCCCTGCTATGCAGTACGGGATTTAAAAAAAACCCTAAAGCCAAGTTTTTCTGTTCTCTTGAGAACCCTCCAGGCAAGAACTCTACACTTACTAGCTGGTAGTATTGAAAACATAATTCCTCCCCTCATTTTTAAAGGGCCGAATGGAGAAATTCGAGTTACATGGACAATTGCAACTCACATATAACACATTCTAGAATTTACCATGGGAGCTTCTGACAGAACATCCTTTTTAAATTAAGAAATTGTGAAGATAGATATGTGTAGGTAGGCATTAGCAAAGTGTCTTTGCTGGATCTTTCCAGGACAAAAAGCCGTGAAGCACTTCTGAATATACCAAGCCATTCAGTGAGCCTAGAACATCAGTTCGGGTTCAATCTGAAATGCCGACTCAATAAGGACATTGCTGTGCCTTGTTCTGCCTGTGCCCAGAACGTCTGCCAATTCCATTTGTGACAAAAGCTGCTCCAGGGACACTGTGGCTGGTGAGAATGTCTTGACATTGACTGAAAGCCTCTGGTTCCCACGTAAAGTGCGCACACTACCATGGTCCACTCCACCCAGGTACCTTTCACCTTACACCACTGAAGGCTGGACAGTGTTACGTTTCCATAGCTATGTTACTATGAATTTCATTTATAAAAGACAATTTGAACGGTGATCCTTACCTTAGCTTGTCTAAAATATCCAACAACTGAAGCCCTGAGAACAAAAAAAAATGTATATTGGCATTATGGCCTACTTTTCATGGTGGTATTATCATTATATAATGGTATTTTCTAAGTACTATTTGCAGAATAAAAAGTGAAAATATCTTCATGTGCCTCTGTCAAGATGCACAGGTTCATTGATCAGATGAGGAGACCTATAGCAGACACATCTGCGGCTGAGTGAGACGTACAGCATCCCCTTGGAATTACTGAGGGACACAAGCACTTCTGGGGGCATGACTCATCTCATTCTGAATTAGACATCTAAAATAAGTCAGATGAACTGTGCAGTCAAAGGCTCCTTTCTTCCACAGAAAGAAATGCAGCATAGGCTCATCAGCTAAGATAAGCACATTATGTGAGATGAAGCCTAACTATGGTGCTTTGGATGCCAATATTCAAGTAATTGGAAGTGATCCTGAATCACAGGTAAACTTCTGTGGCAAAACTAAGTGGCTGCAGGGTAAAGAAACCTCATATCCTATTATGAGAATACTGCAGTGTATGGAAATGTGGCCCCATAAGACGGTTGGCTTTAGAAACATACTGAAGACGTTCAAAGAATAGAGTTCTGTTGGGATGCCAGAAGAGATCAAAGTTATGGGAAAGCAGCAAAGAAAGGTTAAATAGATCTGGTTAAAAAAAGGTTGTTTAAGAGAAGAAAAAAAGTCAAAAGCCAAGGGGTATGGCTTTAACAATTGCATAGTTTTGCTCCCCAGCCCTCTTTAATCATCTCATCACTATATTAAAGAATAAAGCCTTAAAACTGCCCTGTCTTTGGCAATCGATTTTCTCTGAGGAAAGTTAGGTGCAACAAATATTCTTACCTATGAACTCGTTTCTGATTTGTGTTCTTGTTCTTAGCTCTTCTTTCCCCAATATTATGGCATTGATAGCACTCAGCAGTGTCACCATGTATGGTACGTTATCTGTATTTGAGAGCTCATTCATTATGACACTGAATCGATACTGCTGGTTCTTCACACTCTGTTAATAACACAAGTGACATTGCTGTTCAGACAGTTCAGAAACTTCTTCCTCTAAATGAAGGCTCTCAAATAGAATTAGCATCTTAAAACCTCTGTTAGTTTATGCTGCTGAGCACAAGACAGGAAGATATGGCTAAAAGCCACATTTCCCAGTGACGGAGCAGTGTCTGGTCAGCAGAGAAAGTCGGTGAAACTCCTCTCAGATCCCGTTACGCTTTCTGACAACAGATGAACAGCCTGCATTTTGGGCCAGTGAAATCCACGGATGTGGCACCTCCTGTTTGGTTAATCTGGTGGCACTCTTCCTGCCAGAAAGGACCTTGTGGTTGGCAGGAAGCTGCCTGTAGACAACTCACAGGGCAGCACTTTGGACTTCTGCTGACACAGAACTGACCAGGCCAAAATTCCTACAAATTGCACCATATAAACCCCTGCCTCTCTTACCAAAATGATGCAAAATGACCTTCATTTCTAGTCCTTTTCTGTGGTACATGGACCTACCTGCATGAATCAGACCCCAAGTGAGTGTTCACATGTACTGTGAGGCAGCAATACCTCCTGCTGCAATCCAACACTTGCCTTGTAATGGTCCAGAGCATCCAAAGCCAAAGTGTGGCCATCCGATGAATAAATGCACAGTGCAGCCAAGAGCTCAAATACTTGCTTTTTGACCATGACATTAGTTGTGTCAAGTGCTGGGGGAAAAAAAACAAAAGAAAAAGAAACAATTTATAATGGCAGATTAACGTTCTGAATCTCAGTGTTTTCTGGTATTGGCTTAGGACAACGGGTAGAAAAAAGATTTAAGAAGTAGTGCCACAGTGCATGACATATGGGAAAAAATATCCCATTTCACAGCTATCTCATCCCAATCACAATATGTGGTAGTAACTTCTAGTGCGAATAGTGAATGCTAGTTCACTTACTTACCCTACTGGCACTTTGACTGCTGCTTGTAGCTGTTCACCTGCTCCAAGTACTAGTGGAAGCGCTGCCAACAGCAGACAAGATCTCAGCAAACACAGTCACACATTTAATTTCCAGTTTTCAAAGATGGGCATTTTCTAGAATGGCAGATGAACGGCTGCCATTTTCTCCAATTAATGAGTCTTATTTTTAGCGCAGAAGCACCCAGTATGCCGGTCAAATAGGCCAGTTGTTCTAACCAGGCCTCATGTATTTCCTTTTCATCCACTACTGTTTCTCTGTGAGCCCTAGGAAGTATGGGGGAGTGGATTAGACTGTCTTACTTTTCTTTTATTATTGTACAAAGAAGTCAGATTACTCAAAAACGCAGGGTGTCCCCCTATTTTTCACAGTACAAAAATGCCAGTTTTATATTTCATGCTGGTTAAGAAAATACAGGGTGGAGAGAAAAGAAGAGGATTTTAAAACTGAAGGGGGAACAAGTCAGCTTTCAGCCTGGAGGCATTTTAAAGAAATATTAAAAAGGGTTTCTAAGATCACAGCTGTGATCTCAGCTTCATAGAATAACACAGAAGTTTTCCTCCTGGCCTCACCGTAAAGTGCTGTGCAAGTAAGTCCTAGAAGCTACCCTGACAACTTTGCTCCCTAACGAGGAGCCAAGCGAATGGCAGGAGAAAGCAAGTGGCATTGTCTGCAATTTTATAGATGGGAACAGACTGAGCAGCAGAGAGAATGGGCTCTCTTGAGTCTAAGATTCAAGTGCCAGACTCCTTCCTCCTTATGGGCTGCAAGTCTGCAAGCCCTCTGAATTTCTCTTTCTCTCTGCCCTTGGGCCTGACAAAAACTAAACGGCAAACGTCTGCTGACAAGCCGAAAGCTGAGACTGGACTTCTCATGCCCACGTAAGGCTCAGGCATGGTTTATCCTAACTCCTTGGGGAGCTAAGACGACATTTGCGTGGAAGTGAGCCCACCTGCATAGCAGAGAGTAGCAAGGCAACGTAATTTCAAAGCAGCATTATTTTAAAGAGGAAAACAATCCGTGTTATTAATTAGTTGTGATTAACAACTTGCAGGAAGCCTAGTAACACCTCTGGATATATAAAAAGTGACGGAATAGTTGGACAACTGAAAGACACGTCTGTGAAGTACATCCAGTACTCGGTGGGAGGATAAGCAGCAGAACCTTTTCCTGCAAAGCCTCCCCCTGCCTTGTGTGGCAGGTGAAACAAGAAGACGTCTTCTTACCTTGGAAGAGTTTTCTGACATAGCCCTCATTGCTGACAATGTATTCGATCCCTTTGTGGGAGTTCATCACTGCTCGCACACAATTAATGCAGGTGAGCTGAAGCAAGGCGTCAGAAATCCTGGCCACCCCTCGTCCAGATAGCCTGTCCAGGGCCTCCAAGAGGAGGTCGAGCCCACAGAGCTCCAGGAACTGGACCATCCAAGTGTCGTCGCTGTTCTCCAGCCGCTTCTTCAGCCCGGAGTAGTTCACCACGGAAGGCATTTGTAGGAGGCGGATGCACAGCTCTGGTTCTGCATTTTCCAGGTTGGCCTCTGTCTGGTCTGTCTCCTGGGGCCCGAGTTTCTCCTTCAGGGCAGCCCATTTTTTGTGGGCACCTTCCTTTTTGATGGACATCGTAAACAATTTATCCTGAAAGCAGAAGAAAAGACAAAATGAGAATTTTTTTTTGATTGATCACCACCAAAACCAGTGGTGGTTTTCCTCCCAGTGACCAGGATTTAAACCATAACTGCAGCAGGCCTCTTCTTAGGCCAGCTCTCATGGATGCAGGGAACACACTGGAACCAGTCCTTTGTCGAGAAACTAAATATATTCCCCACTTAACCACGCGCATTACTTCCAGGTCCTGAAAACTCTGTAGACAGACTCTTAGCACGTCTACGCCAGCAAATACAGCTTTAAAAGTAGCCAGTTTACACAAGTCAATAGCCACTGCCTATTTTCATGCAGTGAAAGAACGAGGTTGCAAGTGGCATTATCAGCTCTGAACTCCTTATGCCCATTTAACCTCTCTAAAATCTCACTGCACTGGTGAGGTTGTGCAGTTTTTAAGTGTCTGTAGTGGGATGAAGTCATTTTGACCAAATCTTGCTCATAAGAGCATCCGATTACTGTGTCATTTTCTGCTTTTGCTTCTTTTGACGGATATGGAAGTTAATTTCATAGCACTCACTTCATCTTTTCCTATCTGCTCTAAAAGCAAATATGTTTGCAAAATGTGGTGCTTGTATGTGATAATGTGAGAGCCCAACAGGTTGCAAGTGGAGGAACTGCAGCGGGAGGCTATATATAAATAGCAGTTCATTTGGTCAAAGACGGCGAACATCTTTTTCAAGGCCCACCTCCCTGGAGAACATGATCTGCCTCAGCCATTCTGCTCACAGCAATGAGTGTGAGCGGCTGATGCCCCACAGAGAAATATCAAAACCAAGTTAAATTAACCCTGGGTGAGAAGCTTTATGCTTGAGGCAGGTTCTTCATTTTCAGACCTGCAGTAATCAAGATACAGAATGTAAGTGCCTTTCACGTATTTTAAGCAACCATTTCAAATCCCAGGTGCTCTGCTGTCCTATGCAAGCAGGATAACTCCAGCACCTGCCTCCCTGGTCCCCGAGCCACATGCCAAACAGCAGCACCGGACCCCGTGATGGCTCGTGTGTCCCCAGCCAGGCGCTATTGCCACCTCCCCTCCCTGCCACGCTGCTGCGACCCTCCTGTACGCTGGGCTGAGGAGCCCCCACGGAGGTCAGGAGCACCCGGGAGCCAGCTGGCCTCTGTAACAGCCATCGGTGGGCTAACATGGGAAGACTCCTCTCCCGCCCTGTCCCCTGGCGGCCACCTCTCGGCCACAGGACTCAGCTCAGTCACCCCAAGGCTTCCCCACAGACATCGCCTATCTCTCCTCTTTTCGCCACCCCTTTTGCAAAGAGCGGAGAACAGAACGGCTTCGCAGCACTGGACAAACCGGTCATGGCAGGGACAGTGATGAGGTGCTGGTATTCCCCGTCCTACTGCTCACCTGCCTCTGCTATAGGTAAAACCTCCAGGCAGACAGGTCTGGCCGAGTGGTGGCGAAGCCATACCAAATCTCCAACTCCTGTGACTTCATTACATTTAACACTAGTTGGAGGTTTCCCTTAAAACCCCAGCTCTAGAATCAAGGGATTATAGGAGAAGCTTGCTCCTGAAAATACAGACTGCAGCTCTCTGAAAGGTTTATTTGCCAGAAGGCCAAGAAAAAGGACCAATCATTTACAACTACTCGGAATAAACTTCTTACTCTAAAACCTTCCTTGTGATTTTTACTGAGGATCGAAGTGCTCTGAGAGGTCCTGACTGCTTTCCTGCAACAGAGCCCCAGGCCCCAGGTACTGGCTGAGGTTTTCTGGCTCACCACACAGTCTCATTTCAGTTGTCACTCCTCTGGCAATCTCCAGATGAAAAGTTTGTGTAATAATTCGCGGTAAACATTTAGGGCATGATATTATGGGTCTAAACATGTCTCTTGGAAGGATGCAAAGTGCAGGGAAGGGGCTATTCTGAACAGTTAGACTATTTAGCCCCCGGGGAAAGGTGACAGGTGAAACGTGTTGCCAAGGGCACTCAAATCACAGCTCAGGGCATTAAAGGCTGTGTTGAGTAAGGGTCAGAGAGGTGGTAAAGTTAGAGGGATATAGTCACAGAAAATGCTAATATGCTCTTAGAGAGCTGCAGAGAAAACCTTTTGCAGCGTTTCCCTTTGCTTCAAAGGGGAAAGAAGTTCTTGGCCAAGAGCCCAGTTGTGCACTGTTTTGTTAATTGAAAAAAAGACAGATGGTCATGATTGAAAAACGTGAAGTTGTGAATATACCATTGGAGAACAGATCGAACAGCTTAAAAATAATAAAAAAGGACCATATTAAAAAAAAAATCTGACCACAGTACAGGCCAGAGTTTCTAAACTTCATCACAACTATCAGAAACCCAGGGCCCTTACTCTCGGCAAAAGTTCTGTTGGAGTTAATGCCCCCCATCCCAGTTGCTCCTCTGTCTCCAAGCCCAGGACTTTGGGTTTGGCGCAAAGCAAAGCAAAGCAATGCTCCCTCCCCAGCACAGGGAGGTGTGCTGCTCCCACCATCACAGCCCTGGGGTCGTGGCGGCGTCCCACAGCTCTTGCCTTAGCAAATTTACAGTCAGAGGGCTAAAAAGCTGTGGTCAAATCCTGCCCCATATTATGCATCCAGCCCAGTGATAGGGTTTAGTGTCTGCGGGTTCGAGGCACAAACCACAGCACTGGCTTCGCGGGGAGGAGACGTGGTGAAATTCTCCTGGGGAGGAATAAGAAGAAGGGAATGTGCGTGCCGCGTATCCCATGGCATTTGTGAGAAAGCAGAAAACGAGTCTTCCTCCTTCACTCACAGAGGAGCTGGGTCTCCACAGCCCTGGGGAGGTGGCAGCAGGGCACACGAGGACCACGTGGGGCCGAGCTCAGGGCCGCAGGGGACAGCGTGGGAACCAGCACCCATGGGTGGTGCAGAGCAGACCCTGCACTGCTCAGCACAGAGCTGGTCGGATCTGGGACCACCGGGCTACGTCAGAGTTGGTAAATAGTCTGGGGCCAACCTGGTGCCAGCAGAGCACCATGTCTCTGTAGCATCCTGCCTTCTCCAAAGACCCTGGACCTCTCGGCCTCCTGCTAGTGAAGGTACTGGAGAACTGACTGTCCTGGATATTGTACCCCTGTGCAGCGAATGGGTACAAAGCCACGTGCTTGCACAGCGGGCTGAGCCTGGGCGCTTGGCTCTGCCCCAGCCCTGACTCACAGGGTGGGACTTGTCCCTCCTCTCTGCTCCGGCATAAGTGAGCCTCTTTGCTCTCCCCAAAGCGAAAGTGCTCACCAAGTCGAGAATTTGGTTTCCTGCAAGTCCAGGCTGCTGGTTTTAACCCTGTTTGTGCCTGGAGGAGGTGCTTCCTCATCCAGCCCCGTGAAAAGGGCTGCACAAATGGCCCTGGGCCCAGGAAGGCACAGCCGGCTCACGACCCTCTGGGTGGCCACTGCCCCGGCCGAGGTTCGGGCCATTCAGCAGAGGGGCTGCACAAGCAGCTGCTTTCTGCGAGCTCTCGCGCTCTTTCAGTCTAACTTATTTTCACACCCAGTAAATCACTCTGTTATTTGCATATGACTAAACCTTCCTTATCAAACTTGATAACATAGTGGGTTGGCTTTTTTTCCCCTGGGTATGCAAATATTCTGTTGTATACAATATCAGTTACAGAAAGTCAAAGAGGTTGTAATAGCATTATTGCCCTTCAGTTCAGTCGCTTTCTAAAAATGAAGCTAAGCCAATGCAACGGGAGACAGGAAATTATGATACAGCATCCTGTTTACCAGCGTATTTGTTCTAAATTATCCCTTCCTCCCCACCTGCTCTGTACAGATGTGAAATGATGAGAAACAAACCCAGACAGGTACATCTCGAAGCAGTAATGGCTTGTGGTTATGCACCAAGCTGAACAAATTTGATTAAATATCCTCTCCCACAGAGAGCGTACTCCTTCTGTAGGGAAGAAAAAAGATTGCTAATGTATTTGATCGTAAAAAAGGAATAAAATAAACAGGAGCAGTACTATACAAATGGAAAGGAAATAAATATGGAGGAGAGCATGGTACAATTCTGCAGATGGTGAGATAAATCTGTTTACAAACACAGATATGAGTGATGTATTACGAGTGCAGCATCTTTCCATATTTTCCATGAAGCATAGTGTGGCAAATCCACTCAGATACATCCTTAAAGGGCCGGTAGTTTTGCGTTTTATCTCTGACCACAAGGGCTTATTAGCAGGTAAATGGTCTAACCGGTGTGAGACATATCGGAGATTAAAATGGCATGCATCTATTTTGCTGTCTCAGCGAGGCAATTTAGCACTATGCTGGATGAAAAAAGGGAAGTCCACTGACAAAAGAAACCTGGCCCTACACTTAAAGGGCTGCATACTTCTCGCCTTCGCATCCAGCCGGGCTTGCAGCGCCCATGGCCTGCCCCTTGGATAAGCTGCAGGGCTTCAGGGTAAGTGCTGCTGCCGTTTCCTAGGGCTCTGGGACATGTCCTCGTGGTGCATCCAAATGGCCTGCAGTGGGGACACTCGCAGGTCACAGCATCCACTGTGATGAATGCAACGCTCTTCTCATCTCGCTTCTTGTCCCCCCCTAAGTCTGATGGAGACTGGTACCTAAAGAAGCATCAATGCAAAAATATTGTGGAGTAGCCCAATTTAAAGAGATTCCCTTGGGAAACATAAGGTCATCAAAAATGCTTGTTCTCTTGCACCCAAGCAATATCGTGGTTCCTAGTGCCAACTTTCTGGAGCAGTGGGCCTGCCAAGCTGTGATGCTTCCTGCATCCATCCAAGCCAGGTCTTTCAACTTTCCTTTTCCTTTCTCTCTGAACACAAGGTGCTTCCCTGCAGTTTTCTGTGCCCCGCTGTCCTCAAAGCAAAAGCCAGCTCCTATGGAGATGACATCCACAGGAGACAAATAAGGGCATGTCAATACTTCTTCCAACCTGTGAAGTGTGCAGCCCAGAGCTGTACAGCACAGCATTCAGTCTAAATTATTGCATGCCTCTAGGATGGCATGCGTCACAGCA